TTGTGATCCTGACAGCATATACCACCTTCTCTTCCTCATTTCGCGCGCTGTCCGCCGAGTGTTGCCTACCTCCAGGGCTCTTTACATTTCCTACACTGCAGCCGTAGCCTGCTTCATTGGGCCGATGCTTAGTGGTATGATCCTGAAACCGAAGTTTCATCACCCGCTCACGACTGGCAATGGTGTGACAATCATCAATGACTTTCTCTTATTGCTGACGTATGCTTCCCCAATTTCGCTGTGATGATCGTTGCTTCGTTCGTGACGGCCCTGACACTTGGAGAAATAAATATTCTGATGGTTGTGTTATGTAGAGACCGGGCACCTCTTTCTCTTTTCTCTCATGTTCTATCCCCTCTCCATAGCCCTAATAGCCCCCTATATTTGAACCTGAATACGAAACATTTTAAGTTAGGATGAGTATCTATGCTAGCTGAGAGCCAGAGGGGGGTTAACTCATTATTGTATGCTCTTTAACATAGAGTTAACGCCCCTCTCGATACAAACAGGCATGCCATTTCATAGAATGAACATCTGTGTTAATATAAGGTACTTTAACAACAAAAGCTCTTTATATAATTTTATTCAAGGCATTATACCAGTTTCTACTTCTGCATTCTTCCGCAGTGCAAAATCAAATAATATTCACATACCGGTACGTTAAATTAGGATGTACTACAGTAGAGTTAGGTTTATTCCTTCTTTTTCTTTCTCTCCCCTATCCTTTTTCTCTTCCTCTCTCTCTCTCTCTCTGTGCCTCCAACTTCTAGTTTTCACTGTATCTCTAATCCTCTCCACTCATTTCTTTCTCCCTCTCTCTCTCCTCTAAACACTAACATTAAACTCATAACACTTCATGATTTTCTAATTCAATAAGCATGCTTAAAGTGCATTACATAATTATGTATGCACACTTTCCCATGTCAGCAGATTGAAGCCCATAGATTAGTTGTGCTCATTTGGCATTACCTTTCTAAGTTCTTCCACGTATTTCTCACTTGTTGAGATTCTTAACCGTCTCCTGCTCCACCAAGTCTCTTGTGAAGATGTCTCTGAAGGTCCTGGCCAAGACATGGGTCACGTCCTGGGATCGACCCGAGGAGGGGCGCTGGAGGTACATCGGAGGCTCATCGTGGGTTAGTTTCCCCAACTTACCGACATTGTGGATCTGAAGTGGCCACTTTGTTTCTTTAGCTTGTAGGTCTTCGTTAGCTGGAGAGATAAGTCTTGATTTTAAAAAAAGAAAAGAAATTCGAGTAACTTTATAATATAATATAATAATAATTTTGTCACTGAACACGTGGATGGAGATTTGATATTTTCATGTGACTATATACCAAGTTTATTAAAAGTGACAGCTCCACAATTTATATGGATTTATTAGAAGATTGGGTGAATACGAGACATATAAGGAGTATAGACATTGGTGATGTGGTAATTTTTAATATAAACTTATTCGATATAAAGGAAGTTGTATATACGATAAGAGGTTGTATGACAAAGGAATTTACAAATTAAAACATATTCTGGAAAACGATGGTAAACTAAAATGTGACAGGCATTTTAATCGATTTAGGTGTTGAAGTAAATGAAATTGAAAAGATCAAGCACTTGTATGCCTGTTTACCAGTTTGTTGGAAAATAATTTTAGAAAGGGAGAAGAAAAAAAATAATTCTGGAACTGATTTCACTTTGGGGAAGAAAACAACTAATATAGCTGATCTAAAATCAAAACAAATTTATGTACAATTAATAAAGAAAGATGATTTTAAACCTTTGGTTTTTGAGAGAATTGGAAGGAACAATGGTTTTTCCTGTAAGGAAATAGAAAACATATTTTTAAGACTAAGACAGTGTACACTTAACAGTCGATTAAGAGAGTTTCAGTTCAAACTTATACATAATATTATATACAAACCATCACCTCTTCCGTTTGGTCTTGTCTCGACTAACTTATGCTCATTTTGCGAAAAAGATGAAGAAACATAAACATTTATTCTATACTTGTGAATTTGCACAATCAGTGTGGGGAATGTGCACGAGATTTTTAGACTTTGAAATACATAACCGTAGTTTGGAGGAAATTTTGTATGGGAAAGAGGAGAGAAATAAAGGAAAAAATCAATTAATGAATCATGTTTTAAATTCTTGTTAAATATCTGATTTATAGAAATAGAGAACTTAAAAACCACCCTCTTTTAAAATAGTATAATAGGGATAAAGTAGAAGAAAGAAATTGGCAGCAATGAGGGAACTCTCACTATTCATTTTTCTAAATGGAAAACCTGAGTATAAGACAAACAATTGGAACCCAGAGCCAGTTGTCCACCGGTTAAGAGGGGGGGGGGGGGATAAGGGAGAGGTCGGATAGGGTAGGGTTTAGACCGAAAACTTCAGTCTCTCTAATCGTCGGTTGTTCCACTGAGACTACGTCTGGCTCCACTAGACCTCCGATTATAGAGACTGAAGTATGGCCTATCGGGACTGTACGGGACTGTACGAAACAAAATGGTTTCGGTTCGAACCGGACCGCGATGAATGAGATATGCAACGAGATTTTCACTCTTTACATCCTCATAACTGCTGCAATTATAATAAAAATTAAAAATAACATATATATAGCTTATTTGACTTACGATAGCTTGCTCATTTAGATCCTAAATTAATGATTAATCCGAGAAAGTCTCGTCGTCAACATTATCCGTCTTGGTTTTAGTTGATGAATATTCATTTTTTCTTTTCGAACATCCGGTAGCTACCGTACCTACGTACGAGTCAGCCCAGCTTGACCAACGAACTCCCACGAAACGAGTGCTCTGATTGGCCATTTGGCTATGTTTTGGTAGGTTGACCAGGAAATATTTTGGCCGCCGGGTCATATAGCCCTATGTTCGAGTGCATGAACGTACTGTTATACAAATTGGATAATTCATATAAGTAAGTCCGTAAATTATACATTTAATACTAAGTTATCAAATTTTGATAACTGTAATTAGGACAAATGACATAGTCTACCGACCTAATTTACATCTGATTTAGAAATCAGAAAATTAGATCTAAATAAAGAAAATCGGGGGAGAAATGTCGGGAACGAAAAGATGTTCCCCTGTGGCTCTAAATTAACCCCACGGTACGAGATCTCTGGGTTACCATCTGTATTGGGGAATGACAACAAATGTCAGTTTTATTAAAGAAATGACCCAAATCAGATGGTTATTTCTGTCTAGATCTAGATCTAACTTTTAGAGGTCTAGGTCTAGGCATTTGGTTTAAAACAGACAATCCAGAATATAATAAGAACACTGATGGAAATAAACAAGAAATTTAACAATCATAATATACTGTCAGTGTAATAATCGTTAAAAATGTAAAAGTTTTGAAATCGCCTTAGGAATCGATTTAGGAGACAACAAGAAATCCCATCATAAACACAAATGCTCTGGTATTCTGCTAAAATTTGTGTTTACGGTTTTGTACAAAATCGGGTTTAACAAAGGAAGTTTTTTTCTTCCTTTTTCCAGATTCCCTTTTGTTAGACGGGATTTTAGACAAGGGTCGGGAAAAACTCGGGTTTAACTGTTATTTGTAAATATACGGATCAAAGATAGCTCATTAAGCCTTTGCAAGTATGTATCTATACACGAAGGCATATATATATATATAGACAAACACAAACACGCACTATACACTACACTTCACCTCACTACACTACACTACACTACACAACACATACAAAACGAATGCTGAAACTAAAATTTAATGAATGAAACGATAAATTGAATTTCCCAAAATGAAAATGAAAGCCAAAACAGGCTCCTCGGGTAATTGTGTTAATTTGAATGCACGGTCCTCGAAATTCAAGGCAGGAAATTCGAAATCGAAATGTTACGACTTCATTATACGTCAACGATTTTTTTTTTTGGCCCTAAATTAAATTGATTGGGCGGGTAACAAAAATGGAAATGCCCTGACAGGAATG